TTAATAAAACAAGTGAGTAAATTAGTAACCATGTTTAAATACATTGGTAAAAGTATAAAAATGACGATCCAAGGGTAAGAAATTTTAACAGTGAAAAAGCCAAGTCATTAAAGTCTTATTGTATCCTTCCAGTTTAGAGACCAGACAATGTGCTTGTACTAAGAGGAAACAGGAAACTTCACATTGTTCCTGGTCTTGTTGCTTAGAAGACCACAGTGCTACAGAAATATACATTTGCTGTAATAATATACAGTGTAAACAGTTTGTTGTCAAGTTGTGCTTTTGGTTTTCAGTCTTGTTCCTCAGGTATATTTTCTGTTTTTGAGCTGTCTGAAGAGTTAGCGTCACAGTCTGTTGAATCAGCTGAAGGATCTGATGTAGACACTGGCTCCCCTCGATCCCCACTGTCACTGCTCTGTACACTGTCTGGTTCAGCATCTGTCTTAGACTCCAAAGGGATTTCTGCCTCTTGCTGATCAACAGTAGTGTCACCTATCTCACTTTTGGGAGTCTTGTCTTCAGATAAGTCCGTCTGGTTTTCACAAATTTCATCAACATGGGATTGCTCTATGGGAAGAAAATAATATACATTACAATACTGGCCCCAGTCCCTGTCTGCATATACATATATATTAAACTGAATGTATTTCTATATCATATAATTCTAAGAGTTTAAAATAGATCATTGTAAGACGAATTATACAAACAACAATATTATATTATTGTAAGATGTAAAACCATTTTAGGTTACAGCAAAAATAGAAATAAGAATAGCTAAACTGATAAAGGAATCACATGCTTTTTCCTCCATAACGTTTGCCAGTTTAGAATTAAAATTCCATATACACTGTGACCCCGGGCTCAGACTGCACACAGTGCAGCTCTGGTCCAGTGGCCGCAAGTATTCTGTACAGTTAAAAATTGTGAGAGGAGCTCAGACTGCGAGCTGTGTAGTCCACTGGTGCCGGTGGAGGTGTTACAGTGCTTCGGATTAATTTGGCTGGATTCTGTTTTTGCTGGACGCTAGGGCCCCCCTCTTCCTTTAATATTCATAATAACAATATTTTCTTCTTGCAATTACCCCAACACTTTAGGATGTCCTTAACTGTAACTTCACAAATGCAAAAAAAAAAAAAAAAAAAACATTTTACACTTACCCTCTTTTTCTGAAATAGCAGGTGTTTCACAGAAAGCATCACTGGAGTCCTCTTCAGAGCCAGAGTGTAGTGTCTCTGATAGCTCCTCTGACTCTTTCTCTTCACTATCACTTTTCAGCCTTTTGACTTCAGGACCATCTACATTCTGTTCCTCTCCCTCCTCTTCCTCCTGGTGCTTATGTTTAGTCCCGCCATTTGGAGACACTTCTTCTGATAACGTAGTATCACTTCAATAATCACAGAAAAAACAAGATTTCAATTAAAAAACTAAGTATTAATAAATAAAACTGGATTATGTTGACAAAGATAATATTGCTCACATTTTTTTGGATTATTAATACATTTTCTTTCAGTTCAAAAATCAGAAATGTATATATATTACCACAGACATATAATTAGTCTAATGAATGTCTATGTTTCAGACGATAACTCCAACAAAGATGTCAGTCATATATCACATTTCATGCATAACATCCCAGATTAGTTACAGTTACCTCATACCTCATTTGTTCTTTTGGCTTCTCTGTTGGTGTCTCGCTGCCTTTACTCTCTGGGAGTCCATTAGATGAAAATGAAGATGCCAGAACCAGCCTTGATCTGTGGAGTGGTTTTGGTGTGCAAGGTCCATTGATGTTTCGACTAAAAACATACAAACAGCAACCCATTTTAAATGATTAGACACAGCTCTTGACATCAAAATGTTTTCCTTAAATACAAACTATTTACCTTTCAGAATACTGAGAATTGCCCTGAAACATCACCCCATTCATTCTGTTTGCATTCAGGGATCCATTTTTTCTGCACAAATGAAATAAATAGGAAAACAAACACTTTGTTTTCAGCAAATACCAAAGTCAGTCAGAGAGCCAAAGATAAAAGTGAGATAAATGTTATGACAGTTATAACGGTTCTTACTCGGATGTTGGACATAAGCAGCTGACGACCATCACGTTCTGCATAACAAAAATATGACATGAGCAGACATAAACATTTGGGTTGTATCAGTATTATACAAATGAATAAGGAACTCTCACCTTCTCCAAGCCCCTGAGAAATTTTCCAGTTCCTGAATAATTTCGTTTTGGATCTGTTAACAGTTCACATAGGCGCTGAATAGTGAATGGGATCCTGGAAGATATAACATTAATTTTGAGACAATTCAATGAACAATTACTATGACCCACTGTTTAATACAACTGTTTCCACATGCAGACATTTAATTGAGGAGCCTGATTTATGTTACATGCATACAAGACATACTGACCCATTGTAGCCATCAACTATTTTTAGGATTCTGCTCTTCATCTCTTCGAAGGTCACATGCTCTACATTAGGGTTATCTATAAGTCTCTGCTCTGGTGCCGAGGCATGAAAACTATCCATGATGCTTTCCAACTTAAACATGAAGTATGGTTTAAATTGTGTCCATGAAAGCCTAGTAGAGACAGAGAAGCATAACATTTATCAATAACATATCCCTTTGACAAAGACACACTAACATTTACATAAAATGACTCCAAAAGAAAATTGCTATGATTCTGTTCAAGAATAATGAATGGTCTACTCTACTCACAGTGGCTCTCCTGTCTTGGCAACATGACACAGGAATTGCTCTAGAAGTGGAATGGTCTCTTTCTTTCCCCTCTTCTCAAAATCTACAGTGTAATATCAAAGGAACTGTTGTTAATTGTAATTGTAAAAAAAAAAAAACAAGAGAAAAAAAAAAAAGAAGTAAAACAAATAAGGCAGATTATACGTACAGATCAAACATGCAAGTATACAACTATCAAAGCAAATGCCCCAGTAATTTTATATCTTACGCAACTGCAGTATATAAAAATAAAATCGCACGATCAACAAAAGCATCAGATACACATGGGCTTCCAGCAGCAGTTAATGAATAAAATCTGATAAGCAAAGTCTGGCAACAAATAGTACGCGGAATCAAACAACGTTGAAATACGTAATGCTACAGTCCCACTAAGTTAAATTATGAAACAAATTGATGTTTGTAGCCAAGCTAAAATACGATAGCGTGGCAAGCAAACAAGTAATGGTGCATTTTGTTTTTATCGAGATAAGAGGCAATCGCCGATCGTTCTTAATTTTTATGCGTGTTTTATTGCCTTGAAGCGCTTCCAGTAACGTGGTGATGTCCATATTTGTGTCCAGGCCGACATATGCAGAAAATACTTGCTGTTAGCACAAGTAGCATGTAGCAAATCAACAAAGCTAGTGCACGAGCTCACTGCGCATGCGCCAACTGACGTATTTCAAATTCAGGAAGTAATGTTTCTGACAACAATAAAAAGACTTTCGGTCGTGCTTTTACGGTCACTGTTTTGGTTACGCATCCAGAAGCCAAGACAGGTCGTTTAATTGGAACTTTGGCTGTATTTTAGGGTTAAATAAGGTCAAACAGGTAGAGAAACTTCTGGGTCATTCTCCTTGGCGGCACGACCAGACAGACAGTAGGCGTCATCGTGTTTTTTTGGATGTTGTGACGGCGCAAACCGGTGAACAGCCAATGAGTCAGCAGCTGAACAGAGTTAAATTTGCCTAACAACCTATATATAACGATAACTGTTCGAGGGGAAAGCATCTGCCCAGAGATCACCAAGTGTTTACGAAGTGTTTGGTCAAATAGCTAACAATGGCAGTTCCAGCAACTGTCCCGATTCAACTGAGCTCACCATCTCCTCGTCTACTGGATCACAAAATTCACGAAAGAGAGTTGGGAAGAATGACAAAAAACATTGATGTTGATACCCTGCCCTTACATTCACCATGGACATTTTGGCTTGACAGGTAGGTAATCTCTTAAAAACTATTTGTCAATCAGATCCTTGAAAAATACATAACAGCGCAATTTATCTGATCAAGTGCACTTAACTTTGTCACTTTGGCCTGGAAATTATGAGGTAGAAAACACCTATTGTTTGAAAATGCACCTTATCTTGTGACTTGTTGGCCTATATACTTACTGACCTCATTTCTGAGAGCGGGAAGCTTATAGACTCTTGACATAATCAGGCATGACTGGTTTATTTATGACTTGCTCTGAACTGAACTGCGTGATTGATAGTAATATTTAATCTGTCTTATTTATAAAATGTACACTGGAGTTACATTTTGGCATATAAAGTGAGTTTCACAATCTTTATTACAAGTCACCTGCCTCTTGGTTCCTGAGAGGTCAGTGTTGTTTACTGTTTACTTGCCTATTTGTCATTTGATCCTCTTAATCCAGACTTTCACTGAATCTGTTCTCTGAAGTGTCATTTGTCAGTTTGAATAGCAATTTTAAGATGTCATTGTATGTTTTGATTTTTAGATCTTTACCTGGAACAACAGCTGCTGAATGCGAATCCAACTTGAAGAAAATCTACACGGTTGACACTGTTCAGGTAAAGATCCTCACTCATTTTATTTGCAAGCTATTAAAAGTAATAACTCAGTGATGTGTTGTTCATAAATGTTTAATTTATCACAAATTCTTCCATTGTATTCTTTGTATGGGGATAGGATTTTTGGAGAGTTTACAACAACATCCCCAGTGTCCCAAGCTTGCCTTTACGCTGTAGCTATCATCTGATGAGAGGGGAAAGAAAACCACTATGGTAAATTTGGCTATTGGTTCTTTTTAAAATGATGGATTTGTAATTATTTAGTATATTTCTGAATTCTATTTATTTTGTAGGGAAGAAGAAAGTAATGCTAAAGGTGGTGTGTGGAAAATGAAAGTACCAAAGGAATACACGGTAGGCATGATTTTTGTTTTCTTTGATATTTAATGTGTTTCAGAGAAGTACATCACCTTTTAATTTTTTGTTTTACATTATTACTATAATTATTACAGGCTGTGGTGTGGAAGGAGCTTTTACTGGCCACCATTGGCGAACAGTTCAGTGATTATTGTGCTAAAGGTAACATGAAATTATGTTAAATTAATTTGTAAAAATAAATTGTCTTGTGCTAGTATAATAGGATTTTTTGTGTAGAATAATAAATACATTTGCACTGTTTTGCAGACGATGAGGTGGTTGGAGTTAGTGTCAGTGTCAGGGACAGAGAAGACGTTGTTCAGGTCTGGAACGGAAATGCCACCTATGTGAACGAGTCTACCGTTCTAGGAAAGATCTACCAGCTTCTCCCACAAATCTCATTTAAAGCAGTCTTTTACAAACGTAAGTATTTAGATATAATGGTGATTACTTGTCACTGATGTGACTGAACATTGAATATTGAAAAATGATTGTCTTTTTACAGCCCATATGGAACACCATGCCTTTGAAGGAGGTCGATCAAGACATTAGCAGGTTTTTTGTCACACTTGGTGGTAGTTTATTTGACTTTGGCCCCAGTAACCATAACACATTTGTAGATGTGTTTTTAAGTATTGTTCAAAATTGTATTATAGACTAGCATTGTAATAGTTTTTTCTGTTTCCTGTCAGGTTGTTTATTCTAAACATCTTTATTTTAGGTAAAAACACTGACAGTTTTTCTGTATTTGTAATCTTTGCATACTCCAGCCAAAGCAACAGATATGTACATCAGCTCTGTAATATAGCTACTTGTACAGTTTCTTGAGACAAATCTAGCACTTTTTATTTTTCATTTTTATCGAGTTCAAATAAGATAACTTTTTCAAACACACTGAAAAGTACCCTGTGAGGTCAGATGTTTTCAGGCTTTCTATGTTACTGTCTAATATTTGTATCTACTGTATTGATCATGGTGAAAAAGCCATTGCACATTAGAATTAAGAGTTTTATTATGCACCTACAAAATAACCCCTTTAGGTAAGATTTTTATTTTATTTTTTTCGTAAATGATGCACTTTCTTTTTAACTACCTTGTTTTTATTGATGGGAGATTATACTTTTGCCTTTTTTGAGTAGAGAGATTATTTACATTTATTAGCTATCTGAATTTAAAAAACGCTAAGATTCCCTTGCAAAATTCTATAGTCATACAAAAACTGTAATTGTCATGTCATTTCATTTTATCATTTCATTTCACTACTTCAGGATTTTTAATTGGTTGTATACAATCTGTTTATGAGGACAACAATCACTAGTATTTGTGTTGTAAGAATACTAACTGCTGATGTATGTCTGTACTTTCTGAAAGCGAAAAGAAGTCTTAATGTTTTTGAAATAATTTGACTAGAAAAAGTTGCATTGCTTTGGTATTTGACCTTCATTGTTGTGTAATGTTTAAAGGCACATACTGTACTGTTGTACAGGTAGAAATCATTGTGTACTCTACTGAACCTTTGCACATGTACAGTTGCCTGCTCATCAAGATCTCGGACCTTGGAAGCTGACTTTGAATTGTGCCTTGTGTTTTGCAGTCTTTTAGAATGTAAATTTGTCAAACTCGTCTTATGTAACTCTTCCTTTTTATGTTTTACACGTTTCTATAATAAAGAACTGTTATGTTCACAAAGTAACAGTGCCCTGCACCTTTTGATTATTGACATGGTCTACTTTTATTTGGATGAACTTATTAGTATGTGAAAAATAACATCCAACTTTCATTTATCTTATTAGTAAAAACCTGAATGTCTCCATCTTGTGGATATAGACTGTATTGACGTTATAATCTTTAAATGTACACTTAATCATATTGTCTTTATTTTAAGAATTTCTCTATATGCCATGCAAACATTACATGATTATTCTAAATTGTGTGTGTATAATATTAAATAAAATTGCGTTTTTGAGTTCTGGCTTCGACGACCGCCCCGCATGTGAGCATGACGTCATCTTTGTTTACTTTTACCTAGGCCACGCCTCCGTTAGCACTTGTGGCTAGCGCCGCTGCTCGTTGCCAGAGAAGAGCACTGTTCCGAGATTTGTCTTCACTCATCAGCCTAGGCAAAAGATCGTCCACCTCTGGATTAGTCCGTGAGTAAACTATTATTTAAAAGCGATCGACGTTTTTTACACCAGATTTGCATTTACGTTTTATTCATTTCTTGTTCTCCACCGGTTGAGAAAGGATAAGAGGAGTTCTCGTGGGCTAGCGTTGAGATCATAGGCTGGCTGCTAGCTTTTGTTACATCGCCAAAATGCCATTCACGAGCTCGATCAAACTATTCACATCTATAGCTCAATTTTACAACACATGATCGGCTTTATAATGTCAGAGGACCTAGAAAATACGCAAACGCCCCGATATGTTTTATCTCTTCTTGTGTTTTTTGGACCCATGAACGCTACTTAAACCATGAGACTGCAGCCATGCAGTGGATGCGGTTTTCTGTTCCATTTAAATGCATCTGTTTTTGTTGGGCATTTCCTTTAGATTTTGATTATAACGAGTTGCAAAGTATGTGGCCATTTAGCTACATGTTATACTGTAACTCCGGGATTTGTCAAAATTTGTTTAATCCATGTAACGTTTCCTTGTGATTACTCGCCTGGAGTCGCTTTTGCCATTTCAGTGAAAAGTGACAATTCCAGTCTAATAAATGAAATTAAATATGTTTCGCTTTAACTGTAATTGCATTTGGGATATGATAAAATGAGTGATCCCTCCCTATTAGACACGTAACATATAAGATCACCTTCTTCTCTGGAATACTGCTCAGCCATAAGAAATGCAAAGATTTGTTGACTGTTTGGAGGAATTATTTTATCAGACATGGTATTTGCAGAGTTTGATATCCATTTAACAGTAATAATCTCTATTGTTAATCTCAAAATCTGCCTGTTTGTTACAAGTTGATTCTTGATCTGAAGCCAGATTCAAAAAGTGCCAAACCCTCATGCCATAAAGTCATAGTGAATGCAAATATAGAATCTGTTAGGCAAACTGTAAGAATTGGCAGTGGAGCGTTTTTTGTTGTTTTTTTTTTTTTTTTTCACACAAAAATCCCTGTTATCCCGGATGCCTACAGGAAACTCTGCCCTTTGTCTTCACAACTAAGTGTGATCCTGAAAGCAAAAGTCTGAGGCTTCAGGTTAAACCATATTAAAACTACCATCACTAGATATCACATTCAATATAAGCTGTAAAGTAATATTAAACAAACAACAGATTTGACCAAAGCCTGAACTTGTACAGAGGTAGTCATACTTAGTCATGTTAGTTCTTGAACACTTTTCTTTTCTTCTCATACAGGTGTTGTCTACTAATGTCCAGACTGACCACTTTTGGTTATTACAATGAATAGGCAGGATTTTTGCATTATACGTTTTAGTGCATGTGCTTTCATGTGATAGTTCTGTCAGTGCCCCCTATTTATTTGCCTTCTTTATTTACCTTTGTTTATTCTGCTGCAGTGTTTGACTCAGACACTCCCTGGTTGTATACATAAAAGCCTACTTGTGCATTGTACTACCTGCCAGGGCCGTTTATCGCACCACCTGGTTAATGGCAAATTGTTCCAGGAGGAAGATATGTTTGCACATAAACATGGACCCAGGGCCCCTGTGTTTACAGTAGTCATGGCAGCACTCAGTTATTCAACAAATAGACTGAGCTTGATCCTTGCAGAGGAGAATGTTTGTCTTTGTGGATACAGCTTTAATTGTGCAGTTTGTGCCAAAGTCCTATGTTCAATAAAAGTAAGCTGACAAATTATATGAGAAAATTATAAATTTGGGTTATGATTGGGCATTATTGTTTCATTACTGCCTCCCAGCTTTTCTTTTTGTGTCTGCCACGTGCTTGTCTACATAATCTACAATTGGTTTACCTGGAATGTTCCACAGTATGGCATTAAAGATATCTTTCATTTATTAAATTACAGGTATTTACTGCTAAAAAAACAAGCTCTCTTACAATGAGCAGTCTTATCTCTACACAGATCTGACCTGTAACTTGGCCTAGAGTTCCACAGAGATACATAGATTAGTTTAATGCCATACAGTGTAACATTTGAGGTGACGCTATAACATTTCTAAAGAGACAGTTGTATTTCAAACCCTCCCCCAGAGAAGTCACTTTTAAATAGTTCCCTTCCCCAAAGAAATTTAGTTTAGTTTAGCCCCATTTTAATCCCTCTAGTGTGGTATTCTGCTGTCTGCCTCAAATTGTCTTCTAGTCTTGATGCTATCTCTGTTCACAGGTCAGTGACGTCCAGATGCATGAGTCTGGGTCAGAACCAGCCAGCCACAGCATTCCAGCGATTAAGATAGAGAACGGGCACAGCAGTGAGAATGAGAGTCGAGTGAGGGGCAGCCACACTCCTCCCCCAGAGGCACCACGGGTCAGTCCTCTAGCCAAACCACTCTATTACACACACACACACACGCACGCACGCTGTCAGTTACACTACACAAACATACTATTATTTTAAAAAGGGCCAGGGCACTGATGATCATAGTGTTGTCAAGTTGATACCAAAACTATCTACTAATTTGAACAGGCATCATACTGAACAAAATGACATGAATGGGAAGATAAGAACTTTCCGGAATAGTTTTAGAATGGTCTTGTAGTATAAGACCATATGGTAATATTGCCTGAAACTATATTACTTAAAACTATACTGCTATGATAGTTGAAAATGAAATTCTCTGAACTAAGCAAAATAAGTATTTGGTACTGTAAACGTACTTGGGCTCAGTCTTGTGACATCTACTCTCAAATATACCTGTATCAGCTTAACTTTATGACTTAATTTGCTGTGTGTGCCCTGTGCAGTGCTTTCCTTTGTCTCCTGTTAATTCTTTAATCCATGAAATTCCTTAGTATGAATCATAATTAGTCCGTTTTCCAATTCAAAACAATTAACTTTAACTGATGTTGGGAAATCACATTTTAAAAATACCTAGTTGAAATACTCCTTGTAATACTATTGTTTGTACTGCTGTCTTTACTGTCATTCAGCAAGTAGTATAATGTGTCATGTTGATTTAGAAACAAAACTAACCATCTCCATGTGCGCTTGTTGTCCACTTAAGTCCAATTGTTGGGCTTTTCAAAGAATGGTTAAAAAGGTACTCTACAAGGAGATCTGCTTTTCTCTTCTCTTTCTTGTATTGTTTTTGTTTAGTGTTTTGCTCAAATCTCCTTTTATGTTCTACAATTGTCTTGTTTTGGATTCAGTTTACCTTTTATTTTTTATTTTTTATAGATTTGTAAAGGTGGTATTTAGAGTGAAAAGGCTTAGTATTGCTGGTCTTGTGTGCATTTAAGACTTATTAATAGAAAATGCAGTACACACCATGTTTGGTCACCAAACATGACTGACTGCTGTAAATTTCAGTTCACCATTTTGTCGAGCCAAACTCTTGAGTACAGTAAAATACAGCTGTGGTTGTTTCTGCTAAGTGGGAATAACAGTAGAGGCACATTGTGAATTAATGTTTATCTGCTCTGAGGTCCAAACACTACATATTACCCTGAACAACAAGAGGGTTATGTTGGGTATGCTGCGCTTCTGCAGTCTACAAACAGCTCACAACTGAATGTACTTCAAAAAAATATTGTGATCAAATTTTTGGTCTTGTTTAGTGTGTGGCAAAGAGGCAAATTGTGTGGGTCTAGACTAGAGCACTGTTATTTGAATCAATTAATATGGATCCAGCATGTCCAGTGTCACAAAGGTAAATAATGTGCATATGGTGCATTGACATGGACTTGTATGTGGTCTAGTTCTTTCACTGGTAAATAAGTGCCCTTTCCTTTTCTTTGTAACTTTCATAGTGGACAGTCTACTTGGATTTATTATGTTAATGCTTTGTTGTGAATGTTCCATAGCTTATCTTTATTTGGTGTTTTGCTTACTAAAAATAACTTGGAAAAACATGCATTCTTACTTTGAGTGGTATCCTTTCCATTGAAAGGATCACCTGCTTGTTTTCATGGGGTTAGATATGTTTAATGCTATACTGTGTGGAACAATCCAGGCAAAACACTAATACCTCCACAGAGTGAAGGTGGTGGATCCTCTACCAGAAAAGTTACATAGTGTACCTTTAATCATTATGAGAGGTTCTTGCCCTCAGAATGCTCTTTGTTTTACCTGTAAATCTCCTTTTGACTTCTGTCCCTTTGAGAATCTCAATTGCAGTAACACACTGGCTCTTATATTTATGCTAAGGGGGAGCGTGGGGATGGGGGAGGTTTTGCTGAGGTTTGCAAGGTTGGGGGGGGTGAAGGGGTGACTCATGCTGGGTGGAGGGATCAGTGCTTTATTGTTAGTTTTGTTGATATTGAGAGGGTTAGGCTGTCAGACCACATTCAGTCCTTACAGACTATGTAAGTTAGTTTGGATACTGAATTTCTCTTTTCTCAGTGTTGTACATTTTTATAGCCACATAAGTAACACTGAATGCCTCTATTGTAGAAAATATAATTAGAGCATAACCCATAACTTTGTGCAAAATGTATGTTGGTATTATTTCAGAAATTCAAACATCCTTTTGAGCAAATGATGGAATATGTACTTATTATCCACTTAATGAGTAAATGTGAGTATTGTTGGTCTACATCCATAAGTGAATATAGTGTGTTCATATGCAGGCAGAGAATGTTTTGTGTGTTTTTTCTCTTGGACTGTCAGTCATAGAGGAGTTCACAGGACCAGTCTTGCGGGAACAGATTTGTGTTTACACTCTGTTGCTCACTGCTACGACTTTCGACAATAACAACAACAGAAGATGTTTGGACTTGCTGGCTGCCATGGCAACGGGGATTAGGCAAGGCTGTTGTTGTGTTGATGGTGTCCACAGAAAAATAGAGAGGCCAACGGGCTCAGGCTGGGATAGACCTGTTTTCATCGCTTTAGCGGCCACCTCTGCAGCATTGAATTTCATAAGAAAGGACAAACTAGGAAGCAGCAGTCTGTTATTGTTCACCCAAAGCCTGTGTGAATTTCACTGTCGGTTTGTTTACCCAATTCAAAACAGGCTCTGCCTTGCAGAAAGATGTTTGTTTGTGGTTCAGACCTTAATTAAAATACGAGGCTCAAATTCTGTTTTGGTAAACAGGCTCTGTGTGCTTTTTTATTCATTATTTATATCTAGTGCAATTTTTGATTACTCTGTTTGTGTTTACTGTAAACAGTGAGAGCTGGGAGGCTTGGCTGGGAGGGAGAGCGTGATAATTGCCTGATGCTAAAGCAAAGGGCGCAGTTGTTGTTGTTTTCGTGGTTCTGGTTGTTGTTGTTTTGAAGGAATTTGAATTCCCCACAGTGCTCTGCAGCTTCTGATGTTTCTGACTATTTTTAGTCGAAACTGCAGCACTGGCATGTTCAGCCAAACTGACCAAAAAAATGACATAGATTGACAGGTGCAAAGTGTTTGTCTGTGTGCTTGATATATATATATTTTTTCTATAGATGAACACATCTTCTTTCCTTCTGTTTTTCCCGTCTGTTGCCAAAAATACAACCGTGTATTACTTGGTAGTTACACATAACTTCCACATTTTTTGCTCCAGCCAGGTGCTTCTTTATACTCAACCATTTATATGTTTATCAGAGACGGGCACAAATGTACACATTGACCAAGGCTAGAATACTTTTAAATGGTTGCTCTCTTATGTGTCCTGTGCTCCCACAGTTTGCCACACTATCTTTTATTTTATGCACAGGTCCCAGTGTCAGCATCTATGATGACCCCTCCAGCTGAAGCGCCACAGCAGATACAGCCGTCTCCACAGCAGCAGGTCCTCAGTCCACAGCAGCTCCAGGCTCTGCTGCAGCAACAGAAAGCACTCATGTTACACCAGGTACAGAGGGGATTATGTCTAACTCTCAGTACTCCCCTATCCGTTATTATTGTATTTAAATCCACAATGTAGAACATGATTATTTTGGTCACAGAATCCATTATTTGTTCCATAATAAATGCATTTATTTCTTTCCTATTACCATTCTATTTCTGTAAAGTAAAGTTCTACACAGGCATGGGTCAATAATGATTTTTTAAGACAATGTCTGATATTCGTCTCCATTATTAAGCTTCAAAAATCTTAGTACAGACCAAATTTATGTTAAGTTACAATGAAGTTTTGTTAAAAAAAAAAAAAAGATATAATTTATGTTTGTCGGATATAAATTCATATCTCCAATCATTTGGTTTGCTCAAAAAAGACAAATCTGATGCACTAAGGATGATCTGGGAATGACGTATGGGCACACACAGATCAGGGCAGAATACCTATATCTGGGGAAATCCTCTGATATCACCAATATCATGTACCATTCCTAGTTCTACTCAGTATTGTATTTATCCAAACACAAAATCCACATCAACATTTTACCTACCAACTCCCATATTAAATCTTACAGGCCTAGATTTCAACCCCTTTTTAAATGAATGCATACCACAATAGCATTTACATATAGTTTTTCTCTCTCAATATCTTATTAGCAACAAATTCAAGATGTCTTCAAGACTCAGCAGGAACAACTTAATCTCCAGTTGCTACAGCACAAGAATGTTGGAATTGGTAATCAGGAGGTAATTTTTTAAAACATATTTTTGGTGTTGTTTAGTCTTTTGAAGATGGATGTTTTGGCAATAATGATTTTCTCAGAGGATTTACAGAAATAGGCAAACAAATAAACAAACAGCATCCATTGACGTTTGATCCTCCATTAGACTGAATAAAAATAAAAATAAAGTCCATGGGAAATGGAAAAGGAAACATCCACTCCCTAAGAGGGGATAGGCTGCGCTACGCCTCGTATTGAAAATGCCTTGTAATAAGAACATATTATTTAGTGTAATTATTTGGATGTTATTGGATGATTCACTTGTTAATGGACATCCAGGGTTCGTCACTCACAGCAACGACAGTTCATATGATGCATTTTATTTAAAAAAAAATCTATACATATACGCACACACACACACACACACGCACACACACACACACACACACACACACACATATATATATTTCAAAGTCTTTGTGACAACATATAAAAGATTGGTATAGAGCTGGATCTTTAAATAGATAATGACATTTGCTGATTGCATTTGCTAAGCCAGCTAAGTGATTGACTGCACATGACTTTGTGGTTGCCTAGTTACATTCAAACAGGTCTTTAAATAACAAAAAAATCATCATGCTCAAGGTCCTTTTGACCCTGCTGCCCTCCCATATTTATAAAACCAACAATATCTGATTTATTTATAGTATTTGCTCCAAAAATAACAAAAAAGCAAATAACCTTCCAGGTCAGTAAAAAAAAAAAAGAAAAAAAATTATACATTTTAATTCAGCAAGTTTATGATTTATGATTTTGATTTTATTTATTTGGACTCCCTTATTCTTCCTGGGAGCCACAAAGTTTGATAAAGGCAGATCACTTAGTGTGTGTGAAGTAATCTATTAGACATTGTGAATCTCAGAGGCAACAAATCGTAGTTCAGTTTTCTGGAATAACTGTACAACCATACCTTCATTTTATGGTTGGATAACAATTGTAGTATAAATTGAAGTAGAAATTGTTTTAAAAGTAATCATCAAGGCGTTTTAGCTGCCATCCGGAAGCCATTATTAGTCTGAAAGTGCTTGTCTGAGGAGCTAGAATACTGCCCTTAGTAGAGGGGAGCTAGAACTGTTGTAGTATTGCCATAGAGGAGGAGTTTACGCTGAAGCTTGCCGTGGTTTTGTTTGCTTGGACTTACTTGTCCCTTTACCCTTCTTTCAAACCATCTTTTCTCCCTGCTAAAAACTCGCACTTGTCAATAAACAAGTCCAGGGCTGGTTTCAGGGTGGTTCAGGGTAAACTCCTCCTCAGAGCAGCGCTAATCCAGCTCCCTCCCATTAGGAGCTGTAGGAATTCTAGCTCCTCAGATCAGAACTTTCAGATTGATAATGCCTTTAATGCCTTGTGGATAGGTTGGTGAAAGGTCTTGATTTTAAAGACACTGTCCAAGTTACTCACACACCTGATTTTTGTTACCTCTATGTTGTGATATGTTGTGTTCTATATGTGGGAGAGTGCTAGGGATGGAACATCAAAAAATAAGCATTACCTTGGATATGTGCCATTTCTGAAGCAGCAGAGCAAAATGTCCATACAACAATGTAAAAAAATAAAAAAATTAAACAAAAGAGCAATGGAACAACCTGATAAACTGCTGAGTCACTAGTACTACTGGTAAATACATGCATCACACTATAGTTTGGATACTTTTAAAAGAATGTTAAATCTGAAAATCTCCATTGGTTGAACTATTGGTTTGAGACAGATAAAAATTCTATGATGAGTAACAAGATTAGACCAAGTTCTATTCTGTGAAATGGTGTTCTTTAAATAAACTGCGTACAGTATGTTGAAAAAAATGTCCTTATAAGAGATGCATTTGTCACTTTGACATGTTTCGACAATGTAGTGCTGTCTTGACAGGTTCAGTTAAAATATCTATCTCTTTTTTACCTGCCTAATCTTAATGAAGACAAATAAATCTGAAATTAAATTTCAGTGTCCAGCAAATAATCACAATATTTTCTTCCATGACACTAAAAATAAATCATGACTTTTCTTTGCCTCAGCTCACACCTCAGCAGCTGGCCATCCAGCAGCAGCTCCTCCAGGTGCATCAACATCACCTCCTGAACCTGCAGAGACAAGGCCTGCTCTCAGTGCTGCCCACCAACACCTCTGCTCTCACAAGTAAGAGGCCTGCCATTTAGACACTATCTAAACTAGCTACATTAATGAGCAATATCCATTTTCTTGTAGTTGTTCAGTTTTAATTTGTTTATCTAGATATTTGCACTTTTCATGTATTTTGACAGATTTTAAATGGTTAATAAATAAATCAAACTCCATGGACAGATAATTTTGCATCAAACATCTATTCAAGTCTAAAACAAATAAATAATCTAGGCATCTACAAACTAAGTAATTTTTTTGCTGTGTACCAGCCTCTGATAAGCTGTATTAGAGTATTGTCAGGCTAAATCGCTGTCACATGTGTTGCAGGTTCTGACAATGGCAGCGTTGTTGGGGCAGACACAAGGGAGTCTTCAGCTCTGTCTGCCACCAATGGTCATCACCTCCTAAAGAAAAAAGACAGGTAGAATAACTTTGATATACATTTTATTTGTCTAATATACTTTAATTTTGATTTACATACTTATTATTACTTGTTTCCTTCATAGCTCATGGCACTAGTTTTACATCTACAACTAATTAATCAATTTAGAATTGTCTATACATTGAAAAGTCTAGTTTTCTTATTATCTTTTTTTCAAAGATAATATTTGTTAAGTATAATCTCTCGCTGTATTGTATTCTAATCCATTGTTTGTAGCCTGGATATAATGGCACACAAGACATTAAAACGTTATAAAAAAAACACCAAAAATTAGGTGATATTATCTGTGCCTGGCTCCTTGAATTTTTGCAACAGTGGTCTTCTAGTTCAGAAGTTTGCTAATGGCACTTCAAAATTATTACATTAAATGACTCTGTGAATTAGTAAAGTCAATTTGGTTATTGTTTCAAGTCATATCTGGCAATCCCTCAAGGCACGCAAGTGTGTCCTGGTACACTGTTTGAAAATCAAGACCCTAAACGTTGTTTATTTCATTGTTTATTTCATCTTTTAGTGGATCACAGGATGAACATACTCAAGCCAGTCATGCTCTGTACGGGAATGGGATGTGCAAGTGGCCAGGCTGTGAGACTGTTTTTGGAGACTTTAATGCTTTTCTCAAGTGAGTGCCTAGTTTGTTTTGTATTTGCCTCCACTGTCTGTTTGAACAACATACAGGACGGTGACCTCTATATCATGTCATCACACTAAATCTGTTTACCTGCAGACATTTAAACAGTGAGCACACTCTGGATGACAAGAGCACAGCACAGTGTCGTGTGCAAATGCAAGTGGTTCAGCAACTGGAACTACAGGTACATGAATCAGGCCTTCAAGGCGTATAATTAAAGGATTAAAATATAGAAAATTTACCTCCTTTAAGCTTAAGTTTAGACAAATTCCCTATGCACTGTCAGTTGGTCTAAATCTGTGGTGTGTTTTTCACACTGGGGCTTTAAACAGAAGTGATGACTTTATGTAATTACACCTCTGAGGATGCCAAAAGAAGTGCTGTACCAAATGCCATTTTGTCATTAAACTCAAAGTGCTAACTCACAACTTCTGTTTTCAGTTAAAAAAGGACAAGGAGCGACTTCAAGCGATGATGGCACATCTGAAGTCTTCTGAGCCCAGACCAGCAGCACAGCCTGTATGTAGTAGACTCTGTTATCATGGGCCCATATCATTTATTTATATATAGAGGACTATTCATCTTAATTGTTCCTTGCATAAAATATCTAGGTTTATTTTAATAATGATAATATAACAACTAATCTATTTAAAGGCTTTAACAACATTGCTCTGCCAAACAGTAATGAAG